CAAACACTACATGTAGGTTACACTAGTAACTGACAAAACTAAACCAAACACTACATGTAGGTTACACCAGTTTCTGATCTAACTAAACCAAACAATATGTGTAGGTTACACCAGTGTCTGATCTAACTAAACAAAACCCTACATTTACTAAAAACCTGCCCAATTTCTTGAAGATACTTTTAGCACATTCAGAGTTACAGTGTATAGTTTCATGATCACACTGTAGAACAAAGTCTGTCAAATTGACTAAGTTGGCCATCATAGGGTTAAATTACTGACAATATAAAGATTTTGGGCTTTGTATGCTGCCTTATATTATTGACAAAGACAAATCAGTAAGATTTTGGGCTTGGAATATTTCCTACTATTACAGATAATATGCAAATCAGAAAAATCCTGAGCTTGTAATGCTGCATTATATTGTTGATAACATGCATATCAGCAAGATATTAGGCTTGGTATATTGCTCACACAATATGCATATTATAAAGATTTTGGACATGGAATGCCACCTAGTGTTGTTGATAATATGCATATAAAGTAAAAGTGAAACGACTGTCACAAGTCAGATACGGAATCTTGGAGTTTATTCTTTGTAAAATCTAAACCAGATAAACAGGACAAGATGACCGAAATTTTAAGAAAATAATCCAAAGTAAAGAGATGACGTTGAGTTATTCTTTGTTTAAATGTTCAAATTAACATTATTGTTACCATTATAAACAAGCACATAAATCAAACATGACTGAAGGAATAGAATAACACAACAATATAAATATTAACTTTACTTTTATAAACAAAACTCTTTATTAGTCTTGCGTCTACAAACAAAATTGAATTATTTCTTACCCGCTGCTTGTTAAAGTCAACATAACGAAGTCCGAAATAGTCTTTTTCCACAAGGTTTAAAGAATCACATACATAATCCACGAGATACTGTCCCTTATGGTCCCTCTGCAATGACAACACAACTTACATAAATGATCAACATAATTTAATTGCCAAATTTTTTTGCTAAAAATGTTTACTTCCTTCATTGTTAGTTGTACAACAGAAAATTAACACCTTCCTTCGAAAAGCAAATCTCACTATTACTAAAGATAATACTATCTATTAACAACAACAAAATTAAGAATGAGCTCATGGCCACAAATATTCAACATATCAATGATGAACATTTCATTTGAATATTCTTTTTCTGAGTGAAGAAAAAAGGTACAGCCGTTGAATAATAATTTATTATTTTAATTATACAAGCTGAAAACAAATGAAAGAAACAGTCTTATACTTGAAGTCTTAACAAAAAAATATTTGGTTCTTGAAATAAAATGTAGATTAAAAATCAAATTTTAACACGAGATCTCAAGATCAAGTCGGCTTTAAAACAGACTTCTCTTTATTAGTTCCTGAAATAGCTTACCTCATGAATCAACACCTATTAATAATTCATATTTCTTCAAAGTTTATCAAATAAATTTATGGTGAAGTACAATTCATTGAAATTAGCATTACCTTCTAACCAAATCAAACTACTTATCTGGATCCGAACCAAAAATTACCTAACTAATAAATAAAGCTGATTTAATATATTCTCATTTATAATGATCAGAAACCATTGATTTATCAATTGGGTACCTTTAACCATATTTCAAATAACACCTTTGGGGTTTAATGTTAGCCTAAATCCATATATTAAGGAAACAATGCAAAATAAATATATAAACTAAACAATTTAGCCAATACTATCAATGATAATTAGAAATAATAGAATATAAATCATTTACAAAACACCCAAAAACTAGTTTATGGATTATTATTAAATCCCTTACCCTTTAAACGCATGAAATCAGGGGTAGCGTTTCATATTCTGGGAGGTTAGTAGATCAGAACGCTGCTCTCACAGCACACTGTTGTATTGATTTACTTTTGGTTGTAATCCTTCACTAGGTTTGTTTAAAGTAGTCCTTCACTGGGTTTGTTTAAGGTAGTCCTTCACTGGGTTTGTTAAAAGTAGTGGTTGTAGTCCACTGAGTTTGTTTAAAATAGTGGTTATAGTCCTTCACTGAGTTTGTTCAAAGTAATGGTTGTAGTCCATCACTGAGTTTGTTCAAAGTAGTGTTTGTAGTCCTTCACTGGGTTTGTTTAAAGTAGTCCATCACCGAGTTTGTTTAAAGTAATGGTTGTAGTCCTTCACTGGGTTTGTTCAAAGTAATGGTTGTAGTTCATCACTGAGTTTGTTTAAAGTAATGGTTGTAGTCCTTCATTGGTTTTGTTCAAAGTAATGGTTGTAGTCCATCACTGAGTTTGTTTAAAGTAATGGTTGTAGTCCTTCACCAAGTCTGTTCAAAGTAGTGGTTGTAGTCCTTCACTGGGTTTGTTCAAAGTAATGGTTGTAGTCCTTCACCAAGTTTGTTTAAAGTAATGGTTATAGTCCTTCACTGAGTTTGTTCAAAGTAGTGGTTGTAGTCCTTCACTGAGTTTCTTTAAAGTAATGGTTGTAGTCCTTCACTGGGTTTGTTCAAAGTAGTGGTTGTAGTCCATCACTGAGTTTGTTCAAAGTAATGGTTGTAGTCCTTCACTGGGTTTGTTTAAAGTAATGGTTGTAGTCCTTCACTGGGTTTGTTTAAAGTAATGGTTGTAGTCCTTCACTGGGTTTGTTTAAAGTAATGGTTGTAGTCCTTCACCAAGTTTGTTTAAAGTAATGGTTGTAGTCCTTCACTGGGTTTGTTCAAAGTAATGATTGTAGTCCTTCACCAAGTTTGTTTAAAGTAATGGTTGTAGTCCTTCACTGGGTTTGTTCAAAGTAATGGTTGTAGTCCTTCACCCAAACAAACTTGGTGAAGGACTATAACCATTACGTTAAACAAACTCAGTGAAGGACTGCAACCACTACTTTGAACAGACTTGGTGAAGGACTACAACCATTACTTTAAACAAACCCAATGAAGGACTACAACCATTACTTTGAACAAACTCAGAAACTTGGTGAAGGACTACAACCATTACTTTGGACTACAACCATTACTTTAAACATCACTGATTTTGTTTAAAGTAATGGTTGTAGTCCATCACTGATTTTGTTTAAAGTAATGGTTGTAGTCCATCAGTGGGTTTGTTTAAAGTAATGGTTGTAGTCCTTCACCAAGTTTGTTTAAAGTAATGGTTGTAGTCCATCAGTGAGTTTGTTTAAAGTAATGGTTGTAGTCCTTCACCAAGTTTGTTTAAAGTAATGGTTGTAGTCCTTCACCAAGTTTGTTTAAAGTAATGGTTGTAGTCCTTCACTGGGTTTGTTCAAAGTAATGATTGTAGTAATGATTAGTTTTTATCTTTGTAGCAGCAGTATTTAACAGGGATTGCTTTGAGTATTGGTTGTTAGTGGTTATAATGATAAACTACGATTGTTCTATGTAGTGTCTGTACTACTAATTTTATTATTTTTCTTTCACTGTAGAGACTAATTTGCACTGTTAGTTTAAAATATGTATTTCAGGCCAACCTAAGTCTCCTCAGTTGGCCAAAACTTGTATTATTAAAAGCAAGGGTAATGAACTGATGAAATAGTACATTTTACTGTTTTTACATAAGAAAAGTACACTTATTACCATGTTGACTTTTAGTTTCATTTTAAGTAGATAGCTTGTTCTGATCTAAAGTTAACATTAATTCTCAAGAATAAACTATTTCATGAGATGAAAAGTATTAACAGCTTTATTCATCCAATGTTAAATTTGTTACATCAAATTTTGTACACATATTTAAATAGCTGGTAGTTCTTGAACAACAACAACAACAAAAGTCTGCAACTTTAATGATCTTGGGTATTATCAAACAACCTAAAATTAATTTATCAAGCTCTAAATTTTCTTTGTCGATTTCTCTGAACACTTATTGCAATTTCAAATACCTTCAACTGTAATTTATTCTTACCTTTTTGTACTTTTAAATCATTTTTATGCTTATATCAACAATGGTTTATAATACTGCATGCATTGCTTACTACTATACAATAACTACTACTAGTAGTCCAGTTTTCAAGATTTTAATGGTAATTAAATGTATAATATATATATAAATACTAATTATTATAATAATATTGCTTAAGCTAATTTTGTTCCTAATATTAGTAATAATAATGAAATTGGACAAAATAAAAAATAAGATTTTATTTTAAATTCACGTAAACCTATCAAGAAAAAATTGACTCGAAACAACTGTTGGTGAACCTGTAACTTGTAGTTTAGCAGCCTATATTCCATATTGGATTTTCGGACATAAAATCACAATTTCATTTTAATTTTTTTCAAAAAAAAATCAACATTTAACAAATCACATGTATCAAAATTAACGTAAAACTGTGATTTTATGTCCGAAAATCCAATATGCTGCTAAACTGCATTTGTGAGGAACCAGAGTGACAGCAGTGCTAATGATTTCATTAAATTAGGTCAGTGACACAAGATCTGCCGGCATTAGGCCTAATCTTACCCGGAATTCGCATTGGATAACTTCGTTATCATCGATAAGCCTGATTGTGCAGGTATACTCCTTGTTCACATTCTTCTTACTGCCGATTCTAAACATGTCCACCCTCTAAAGTTATTCAAACGGATAAGAGAATTGTTACGGTAGTGAGCGCGAATCAACACTTCGAAGCGCAAGATCTGTCGTACCACACAATTAGATTTTCATTGACATTATGTATATTTAATAGGCATAAACTACCATAAAGGTATTCAGCGCCACCGTACAACAAACAAAAACAATAAAATATATGAAAACATATATTAACGCATCAAGCTATATGAAATACGACTAATATCATGTTGTTCAAATTTCATATTTTGAACAAATGCGATTTATCATCAGTGAAACTATATTAAAAAAATAATATTATTCTTATCATTACAAGTTTAGTGTAATATTACGTATAAACACATTTATTATTTATTTATGGTCAGTGAGAGAATCATCTCTACAATATGACAATGAAGAATTCCTATCAACTTCGATTCACTCAATAAACCCAAACATATATTTGATATACTTAAAATTTCAATGTTTAGTGTGATATTTTTTCGACTAACTGAATTTATAACATTTTTCACATTCATTTTTTTTCTTCTGAATACTGTTTTTTAACGTCTTATATGTTAGAAACCCTGTTTATTCCACAATTTAAATTTTAAAAAAATCTTTTGAGCTATAGCTAGACATTTGCATTATTTTGGGGTGTTTAAATTGAATGATGAATACAGTCAGAAAAAACAGGCAATATCACAACTTTATTTTGCATAGCATAAAATTTGCAAATAAGCAAACATGTTTCAAAACATAATCCTTCACTGGTTTGATATCCAAACACTTTTAAAGCTTAGATTGACTTCTTATCAACTTTACATTACATATTCAATATATAGTTACATTTTTTGTCAGATAAATATATAGTAAGGTTATGTCTATTCTCAAAGAAACCCTATTTAATTATAATAAACACTTACAAAACATCATAATAACTTCTATAAAATTTACAAACTCATTTCTCCTGATACTAATAAAACTAGGATGATACAATCTGCTCCGCTACACCCATTCAGATATCCCGCATTTGGGAAATCCTGATAATGTACTAATAATGATAGAAACAACCCAACTACAGCTACAAACTGTTCATCTACACACATTCAGGTCTCCTGCACTTTAACAATCCTGATAATGATAGAAAAATCCAACCACAGCTACAATCTGTTCATCTACACACATTCGGGTCTCCTGCACTTTAACAATCCTGATAATGATAGAAAAATCCAACCATAGCTACAATCTGTCCACCTACACACATTCGGGTCTCCTGCACTTTTAATAGTAGTAAGTGACGTAAAGTTATTTATTTAGTTTGATATTTGCAAAAAACTAAGTATTCTAAAGGCAGGAAAGTGCTTAGTGTTACTTACATTTACTGTAAAATCGCTGCATGCAAGTGTTCACATTAGGGAAAAATAATGATTTACACAATACAAATCTTCAAATTCTGTGTTTATTCTGAAAAGTTATTCACAAGTTGACACAAGTTAGGTAAAAATAAACCTTAATACCCCGTAAAGTGAACCAGAAAAAGTGTAAATGTAAGAAAATATATATATACTGACTTACAAGTTCATAATAATAAATGATACTCAGATCCTTCTCTGATTTTTTTAAGGACATATCCTCTAAGAATCAAGTTTGTTTCTGTGTATTAAGATGTAATTTTGATGCATAAACCAACAATTCGATAATCTTGTGGTTCTTTATTAATTTTCTACAAAACTATTTGAGTGCAACTTGTTCCTATTTTTGATGTGATAGACTTGAAGGAAGGCAGTTAATCAACCACCAACAACTCTTGGGCTACTCCAATCAAACAGAGGGATTTGAATGTCATTCTTATAAATGTGGAGCTTGATTTTTCTTTTTTTTTGGCAGTAATGAAGCACAAACCACTGAACATTGGATCCATAGTTTGGCATGCTAGGCCTAGTTTAATAGGTTGATGAAACCTTCATCTAAGAAACAACAATTTATTAGGTTAAGGTAACATTAGATCATTCTCACATAAATAAAACTGTCGATTCTTACATTTATACAGTTGATGTAACTACCCTGACCTATCAAACAGTGGATTCTTACATTTAGAAGTTGAAGTAACTACCCTGACCTATCAAACACTGGATTCTTACATTTATAAGGTGTAACTACCCTGACCTATCAAATACTGGATTCTTACATTCATAAGGTTGATGTAACTACCCTGACCTCTCAAACAGTGGATTCTTACATTCATAAGGTTGATGTAACTACCCTGACCTATCAAACAGTGGATTCTTACATTCATAAGGTTGATGTAACTACCCTGACCTATCAAACAGTGGATTCTTACATTCATAAGGTTGATGTAACTACCCTGACCTATCAAACACTGAATTCTTACATTTATAAGGTTGATGTAACTACCCTGACTTATCAAACACTGGATTCTTACATTTATAAGGTGTAACTACCCTGACCTATCAAACACTGGATTCTTACATTTATAAGGTGTAACTACCCTGACCTATCAAACACTGGATTCTTACATTTATAAAATGTAAGAATCCAGTGTTTGATAGGTCAGGGTAGTTACATCAACCTTATAAATGTAAGAATCCAGTGTTTGATAGGTCAGGGTAGTTACATCAACCTTATGAATGTAAGAATCCACTGTATGATAGGTTCTTACATTTATACAGTTGATGTAACTACCCTGACCTATCAAACACTGGATTCTTACATTTATAAGGTTGATGTAACTACCCTGACCTATCAAACAGTGGATTCTTACATTTATAAGGTTGATGTAACTACCCTGACCTATCAAACACTGGATTCTTACATTTATAAGGTTGATGTAACTACCCTGACCTATCAAACACTGGATTCTTACATTCATAAGGTTGATGTAACTACCCTGACCTATCAAACAGTGGATTCTTACATTTATACAGTTGATGTAACTACCCTGACCTATCAAACAGTGGATTCTTACATTTATACAGTTGATGTAACTACCCTGACCTAT